AAACCGATAATAATAATTAAATTTGATGAAATTATTTTATGAAATATATTGTATAATAAAATGTAAACTTTTTCAATATTATTTAATAACATAGCAAATTAAATAAAAAGATAATATTTAGTATTTTAGTAAACCAATACTTTTAATTCAAAACCTTGTATCTCCAATTTTACTTTTTCTGTTATTATAGTAGTATTTTCATTTTTTGTTTGTGTATCAAATTTGTTTGAAATAATTCAAAGTTGGACAAATTAATCGGAATATGTTATAAATAAACAGTTTTTAATGTTTCTTGTATAATTTGTACGAGTTACGAGGTTTTGGATTTAAGGTATCGACATGTTACTTTAGTCTTCCTAAGGACAAACACACAACAAGGATAATTTTCCAGCTAACGCGCATTTTAATTTAACGGTGTAATGTAATTCTAGAAGAATTCTACGCGAGACGCAAGCGAAACAGAAACGGCGAATAGTAGTGCTCTAATAAACCTCGAACTGTCGCGAAATAATTAAGCACATTTATTTCCGCGATAAGACAAAGAACGGGGTACTTTTCTTCAAAATGTCGTCTGTGCATCGGCGAACGGGCAAAGAAATAAAGAGCCTATACAGAAGAAAGAAGGTAAAGGGGAAATCTCATTTTCGAGCTCGCGCAGTACATTGACTTAATAAAACCGCGAAATAAAATATACAAGGATTATAAAGGACGCGCAAAGCGAGAAGAATTCACTTTACTAGTCATAGATAAAGCTATGAGTAAATGCTTTTTCATTATTATACGTATAACTTTCATTTGAAAGTGAGATAAATGGATTTAAAGAAAAGAATTAGCATTATTAAGTTGTAGTTCAAAATGCGACTGTTATGTTTTTACCCATAAAGATTAGTTACATTCCCACATTCAATTACTTTCAATTACATTTAATTACTTTCAACAAATGCTCGAAAAATGTGAAAATAAATTCCAGAGCTTTTCCAGGTCATTGTGATCCGAGAAATTTCTTGCATGCCTTGCAGGTCACGAATTAGAACAACGTCTAAAAAATCTATAATGAATTTCGACTTAAATTACTGGAACATCGCATCCGATAAATTAATTAAACTACTCAATAAAAGTCCCTCGGGGAGTATTAAGTTTTATTAGAACAATGTCCTTAAGCTGGTCAATAGCGATCATGTTGTGGGCGCTATTCCATTTCGTTTAGATTAAGTCAGATTTAATACAGTCGATAGTGGAGAAAAAAAAAAGAAAAATTACGTCAATGAGTTAAACATTAAAATGGCGAAGAATATCGTAGATTTGTCAACATAAAATATTGAGAAAATAAGAAATCGCAATCTCATATGTATATATTCGCTTTAATAATTTATCACGCTTCCTAAATAAAGTTTTCATAAACAGTGGTTTACGAGAAAACAAAGTTTTTGTTAAAAATTTATGTTCGAGAAAGAAATCTTTTAACCTGACCAATCAGTTCCATTCTCTACAATCTCGTAATGTTAAAATAAAAGTAAATACTTTTACTTTTATTTCACACTTTCATAATTTTTAAATGTCTTTTTAATATCTTTTTAACGCAAAGTACTCTGTGAAATAATTGAAAATTCATAAATGAAAATTGTCTCACGAATGATATTTTCATTTCATGTAATCGATTCCATCTTCGCGTTCTCGATTATCTGGCTTCGATTAATGAAATATAAATAATTCGCCAATTATTGAATCGGATTGAAAATCGGTAATAATTCCAATAGGACACCGACGGGCTTTCATATTTCTCATTCCTACACAATTTACGACCAGTGTCAAGATTTTCAAAATGTAATTTTTTATATCGTTGGGACGATGCTAAGGTCGTATGCTATTATGGCGTGTACAAGAGGGTGAAAATGTGTTTGAAGATTTGTGTGCCGGACGTGACAGCACGGGGGCGTTGGTTTCGAGGATGATTTGGGGTCGAGAAGGTGCAACGAAAGGACGGGAAGAACCAAACTAGGTCGTGACTCTGATAGTGCGACCTACATGCGACTTGGACCACCTCTCCGCATCCCTCGTTTCATATCGTCCTCCTGCATTTCTCCGTTGTACAGTGACGGATAAACATTGATGAGCCAGCAGTGAATGTGTATGAAGGAATTCGAATTATTCGAATTTCGTGATGTGGTATACACGATACTTGCAAATTAGTACTCGAACACTTCTGGCAGCCAAACAATTCGAATCTTGAATTGTTCGGATCTTTTGGTCTTCAAAGTCTATCCATTTGCATTTCGAACTAAATGTTGAACCAATGTTAGAATTTCCTTTTGACTGATTCGTTCGAATCTATATGTGAGATCTATTTAAGACACGTATCACGGTTTATTTACATTCACTATTCTAAAGAATGAGCATTTGTATCAAGATGTTATCTAAATTGTTATACTTTTCAATCATGCGCATCATAAAAAAACCTTATTTTTAAGGTAAAATTTTACACATCAGCCTTTTCAGTAATATACTCATATTGGAAAATATTCCAATTGTAGTGTTTATGTAAAATGAATCTATTGGGCATTATTCGTCCTTAAAGTGATTCTATTTTTAGTCGTGGGTGCAAAGCACGGTTAACTCGACCCTGTTCTTACGTCATTGCCTAGGGATGCATCTCCCTCCCCCATGCGCTTTTACGTCATTGCCGACAACTGAAACAGCACGCTTTTTCGTGAATGAGATCTTGATGAGAAAAAATGGTCGGGACGCCAATATAAAAGATAAATAGAGAAAGAAAAAAACTATTGCGGCAACACCATGGTCGATAATAAATCGTACGGTAGCGGCCGTTGCCTTTACGATCTTCCGTTTAACTTTTTTCCGGTTTAGCTCGCGGTATTCAATGTCCCGGCGTAATTTCTGGGCGGTGCTGGCTTGTCCACCGATATCGAGAATACGTCGACGAATACGGCCGAACGCTGGTTATTAAATTTCGATACTGTCGCACGGGCGACTTTTTACACACCGCAATTCACCACAACGAAGCTGAAATTTTTGCTTTACTCGACACTGCAATGAATCGCGCAATATAGAACGCGTGATTAACACATCCGTCTTAATATATTATCATTGTAATGTATCAAATTTTGATTGAAATCAAACTGAATAATAATCAATATTGTTAAAAGCAATATTGTAGCAGCTTGGTTATTACAATAAGTTGCGTGAAATACGCATCATGCGTTGTAACACGTCAATGCACAATATCAGTTAAAATGAAAGCTAAATTATACTAAACGACGTTAGAGACAATATACTTCAAATAATATAATAAATTGTAAAGTATAATAGCAAATATTTGTGTTCTCTCTTTATTAATTAAATTTTAGTTTTAAGTAAAATGAAAACTGGTAATTATTTTAAGTCCCAAAAGCTCAAACTTTTATCATTGCGATAGATTGCATAAAATATGATATCAAATATTTATCGTTAATTGTTCGTTATATTAAAAAAAGCATTATACTCTAATATTAATTATAATCGAAGTAATTTAAATATAACAATTCCTAGCTTTTGCACACAATGTAAACAAAAATTTATTTTAATAAATTAATTAGTTAGTTGAGTTACCAGCTTAATATTGAACGTAAAAAGAAAAAGGATGTCATTTTGTTGCGTATAAATAAATTTATATGTATCAAAAAGAAACAAAATTCATCAACTAATTCATATGACCCATCATGTTGAAAATCGATATTTCTCGCGCAAAAAACTTTTAACGCGCGTCTATGCACACAATAAAATATCTCATTTCTGAAAAAGATTCGCAGGTGAAAGTCGACATGAATATCATTTATTGGAAAACTTTCTTTCTACCGTTTGACGACGGGATTAGTTACACGAGTAAACGACGGAAAACGAGAAAAGGAAAGAGAAAAGAAAAGAGGCGGATATGATGGAGCATAAGATGCATTCCGCAAAATATCGGCTTGCAATTCCGAGTGTGGCATGGAGCAATTGAGAATCTTTATGCAACGCGAGAAACGAGATATTTCTATTTCTATCCCCGACGGTAAAACACGATATACGAACGTGCCATATCGTATCGCACCTTTTTTTTACATACGCAGCTCTTAACCATCTTCGAGGTCACTCCCCTTCATCCCTTTCTTTCGCTCTCTCTCGCTCTCTCTCTCTCTCTCTCTCTCTCTCTCTCTCTCTCTCTCTCTCTCTCTCTCTCTCTCTCTCTCTCTCTCTCTCTCTCTCTCTCTCTCTCTCATTCTTTTTCTCACTCGCGATCACTGTATACCTATTCGATATTTAGACCATCTCGCACGGCGTATTTCCGATGCGAGCGAGCGCGGAATATCGAGTGGCCGCGTGAGCAAGTAAAAAGGCTACGGGAGCAGGCTGCATGGGAAATTTGAGATTTAAAATATGGGATCGGCAAACGTAACATTGAATAAACCATGGTGCCGAGTGCGATGTATCGTTAAATTAACGAGAAATTCTCGCAGCGGTTTTCTCTCGACGGTTAGAATATCATAAATATATCTGAGAAAATATTGATATTCATTGAAACAACAACAGAAAGCTTTCATATTTATCTTTTATATCGATTTTCATTAAATTTGTTTTATTAATACAACTACACACCGTACACCGCAACTATAAACCGCAAAATAACGCGAGTTATTTTTATTGTTTGCCTTCACCTCTGCACTTTTTTACGACTGCGACCATTGAATCGCAAACTTCTATTACCTATATAAACCCATTTTCAAAAACTACAGACAAAAACTTGCTGTGTAATAATAATCACGAACCAATAAGTATCATAATAATCAATTTCCACTTGAGATACATTTCTCAATTATGTAATTAAATTTCAGATGGAAATTGCGCAAGAGAATTTTCATGTAAAACATCGTCACAGATGACGCGTTTCCGATTGCATAATTAATGTGTTAATTGGCCAAACTCAATAATAACTTTCTAGTTTGACTTACGAACTAGTTGCTTACCGTTGGTATACTCTGGTGCCGATGACTGGTAATCATCCTTGCACGGTGATTTTGAAGAATGAGTTTTCTGCGCTGCTATGCGAGTGTGATAATTATTCACGCGTATGTTTTTATCTATGACGTTGTTGCCGCAGTAATTATCTTATCGCACGAAAGGCAACTCGTACTGGCAGTTACTAATTGTCATTGCTCGCTTCTGTATCCTGAGCAAAGTGAGAGGAGTCTAGTTTATCGACCAGCAGTCTCGCTTTGGCTTGACTGTAACACATGAAGGTATCTCACAATCAGTACATACACCTTTGTAGAATAAATATTAACACAACGCACTGCAGCGTATCATTTTTCGATTGAACTATAATATTAACAATATTGTCATGTGTCTCGCATTGTAAATATACTATTCAATATTGAGAGAACACCTGTCAATCAACGCGTAAGAATCAAGCTTTTATCTCAGTAACCAAAATGTTGGCAATGTTGACAGATTTAATTAAATCAGAAAACAAATTTCATCAAATTTAGTGTAAATCTGTCAACAATGCTAACATCTGGCTATCTGGGATTATAGCTAATAATATATAAAGTCATTTATATGTTATAACATATGTAGATGACAAAAAATATTATATTTTATAAAACAATATTTATAAAACAATATCCATCTTTAAATTTAACAATTGATCAACTGTAAAAAAAAATCAAAAAATGATAATACTTCAAAATATCTTTAAAACATCTTTAAAAAATATCTCCAATAGGTGAAAAAATATATTACACTGGAAAATAGCAAGAAAACAATATTATATAATGTAGACGTCACTACAAAAGATAAACTGTAAAAGAAAAATCAAAAGATGACAATAATGCAAAATATCTTCCAGCAAATATCTCCAATAGATGGAAAAAATGTATTACATTGGGAAATGGCAGGAAACTGTGGAAAATGGAATATTACATATAGACGGCATTGTAAAACATAAAAAAACGACAGACAAAAACTGACAATGTCCAAATTCTAATAATGTGTGTACATGTAATTTATTATATAAAACATCGCACAGCATATAATCAATATCGTACATCTCGCATTTTCAATGATTTCCCATTATATTCGAATAATAACAGCGCGAACATTATTCGCATTTGTTCGACGCGCCACATTACAGCCGAACACATATTATTATAATACATACATATCCTACAACACATGTCGATATAAATATATCGAAATCCTTATATAACGTCAATGCTCCTATCACTTTTCAGGTGATTGCTAAATTCGGCCTTCAAGAGCAACAACTAATAATATGAGTCATTTATTTTCAAAATTCTATACAATATTGAATTTGAAAGTAAACAACTCGTATATCGATATTGCACACATAATCAACATATTGGATATAAATATTCTAATGTGGAAAATGCTACGATGTAATACTACGAAAGAGGGACACTGGACAATACACATGTACAAGTAATTATTGGAACGCACTAAATATCACATTATATACAGCTGTCTGTCTTTTAGCAAGGGACTAGCTTAATTCCATTTCACGCCAACGAAGCCGTCAACGAATTATAATTACGTATATCTTATATACAATTCCTGTAACGTATTACACAGATGCAGCTGTCATATTCGCCTACACGCGTACTCGTACAAGTTCCATTTTATAGTCTGTGGAGAAATTATAAAAAAAACTTCGTACACTTCCAGTTCCTTCCTTTATCTGACACCTTTCTTCCATTTCTGGAAATGTGTGCGTATAAATATTAATTACTATTAATTAATTATATGAGACTTCGATACCAATTATATGCGCCAGAAATACATCTTTGCAATGAAAATCGTCACCTTGCAGTAGGGTCGGACTGGAACACCAGGGCCCATCGAGAAAATTTGTAAAAAGGGCCCCCACTCTAAAGCGCCGCGGCAAAAAATTTTTTTAGTTCAAGGTCAAACGTGTTTTAATGAAATTTGGAGATATTTTGTCCTTTAATTTGTTTGTTGTTGTTTTTATTGTAAATTTTTTTGTATTGTAGTAAAGGTAGGCATACGTAAAATAAATAACCATGTATAGTGCATGTATTTTATTTAATAATAAAATAATATTTCTTTGGCTTTTAGTAAATATTCTTTTATAAATTGTCAGTTGCCATAACCTTTCAGACAAATTATAAAAAAATGAAAGGAGAACACGAAAGACAGTGACGCACTACAGATAGTTGACTAACGCTAATTCGTGCTCAGCGCTATCTTGGTTAGAGAAGGAAAGCACGTCGTTATTCAACTGTCGTAGTCTGATAATTTAGAATTTAGATTAATTTCTTGCATAAAAAATTTAAAAAAAAAAATTTGGATTTGGGGGCCACTGGGGCCCCCAAAAACATGGGGCCCCCCGAGAAATTTCTCGGTATCTCTCCTGTCCAGTCCGCCTCTGCCTTGCAGTGATCTCTATGGTTCTATAAATTGAGAAAAAAAAATATAAAGTCTATTTAGAACAATTAGCATTGTGAAACAGACATAAATAAAATTCCCATCAATTTTCAAAAACTCAAATGAAAGACAGATGAATAACCATGTTCCATATTTTCATATAAAAATGATGATAATTCTCTAGATAAAAAGAAAAATAGTAAAAACATGTCGATATGAAATTCTTCGTTAAATCAACAATAAGTGAATAAAAGTTCCCTTTTTCTGCATTCCGGTAGAAATTATTGCAAATCCTATTTCTATCGCGCAAAAACAACTGGAACGCAACAAATAATAATTACATATGTACAACTCTATATAAATATTACAAAAAAAATAAAAGAAATAACGATGTGCTTGATATCAAGAGAAATGAATCGAAATATGCATCATGTACTTCTGTAATCGGCTTTTGCTGCGGTTGCTGCTTGCGGTCCAATAAAATGCATACAATAAAAAGCATAACTGCGTATGTGTGAAATAACCTGTTTTAAAAAAATTATAAATTTTTATATATAATAAAAAATAGAGAAAACAATCACAATGTTCAACTTCATGATATTCATATAGCACTGATTACTACCTATTAATTTAGCGCTCACTATTATTAGAGTACAACTCAGATCCATGCAATAAAGAAAACAAGATCCGTAAAATCCTACGGCAGTAATCTGTCACGATTCTGATTCCACCTATAAATGCGCCTTTTTAAATTAATCAAAGTTCACAAGTAATACTCACTAATAAGATCCTTCGTATAGTCATTTACATTTATACATGCTTAACAAATAATTAAGCATTAAAAATAGTTAACACATTATTAATGATCATAATATGCCAAAACAATATTTTAAACTTCTAAACAATCTCGTTCGATGTTCAGTATCATCTGATGTGTTGTGTTTTCACCGCGGAGCCTAATATATCTTTATTCGCCCAATAAATAATTATCATCGATAATTTCGTTCGCACGATCGAACTCAATCGTTAATTTTCTTTAAAATTCCTTGTCCACTTTCCAATAAATGTTATATTTAATAATGCAAGTAGATGTTTCCTCCGATAGATTTTACCTGAACTCAATGTTTCTTTGAGATCCATCATTATTTTATTGCAAGAGTGGTCCAGTAAATTTTATTTAATTTCTGGCGACTTTGTTTTCCTTTAGAACAATATCTATCCGTATTTTTCCGTAACAGCAGAACAAATAAGATATTTAAAAAATATTTTTTTCAAAATATTTAATTGATTTTGCAAATAATTTTGTATATTATTAAAAAATTCAAAAGTTCTTTAAAATACAGTGTGCTAAATTTATAATAAAGTTTCTGCCATTACGACAAATTAGATAAATAAAAACGTATTTTTGATGTAAAAAAAAAAATTGTTTCAGTATTCTTTGACTATAAATTATATTTTATAATCATATTTTATTAATATTTTGTAACATAGACAAATAATACACGCAAATGGAAAATGAAGTCTATTATTCTATCCAAAAACATAGAGATAAAGTTCCTATACATTGAACGAACGAACGAACAACAAACAAACAACAAATGCAAACAGAATGTTCATTAGCGTTCAATTCTCTTTCATTCATTACATCAAAGAAAGTTTTAAACAAATTTGATTTCGCAGTTGTTGTTCATTCTTATGCTAAGGCTATCTCACTAGCACGTTTATCTACCACGCATACGCTTTTATAATTTTCGTGAAATACTGTTATTGACTCAGTTATGCTTCTTACCGTACATCGATCCTCCGCACATTTCCTCTGTAAGCAATCGGAAAACAAACTTTGCTCCGTCCTGTATACAAGGACTTGCATTCTCTTCTCATACTTTCCCTAAGATAGAGATCAGTACGTTTTTCGACCTATTTGTATATTGATCGCGCGATGATCTTCATCATCTGTGCGGGCAGTAGGAAACATGTGGAAACAGATGACAATGGATGGATTTAAATCTGGAACAGAAAAATATAGATATATGTTAGCGAGAGAAATGTGTCTCTGCTGGAGATTTCACTGCAAAATTTAATTACAAATATGGGATCACCTCTTGCATTTGAAACGTTGAAAGCGAAACAATCCAAATAATAAAAATTTCGTAAAAAAATAAAAGTAAAAATGTATATAGATTAAATCCATTATTTCCGTCAATTATCTCTTTTATAGAATCTTTATTAAGAATTCTTATAACTTTTATTAATAATCAGTCTTCCGTTGTCTGAATACTTCATGAGCGCTCGCTCGCTGTATGTAGCGAGTATTCATCCTCTCTCATTCCGATTGTTTTAGTCAGATTCTCCTTACACTTCGCATACATATCACGTTCATTGGCTACTATACATTCTGGCCATACCTATCAAGTATGCACTTTTTCCCTCGGCAATCTGCTCATGCCTCCAAACATGGTTCGAAGTCGGAGATGTGACGGAAGCAAAAAATTAATAATTCTGGCACGAGTAGAAAAACATACTTAATATATCAATCCAGACGATCTTTCCATGTTAATAAATAGACGACTCGATGCTGGAGGAAGAAAACCAAAAAATGTTGCGTCGCTTCGCATAAGAATAAAAAAATATCAACGAGTCTGCTATTTGCATTCGCAACAAAATTTTAAATTCCGTTGCAATACCGTGCAATCTGCATATTGAGATTTTTTCGTCGTAAACAATCACGGCGACTACCGCCTGCAAATATGATCAATTAGCTTAATGCGGCGAACTTTCATAATATAAACTTTTAATAAAACGGATGGAGCAGCGAAAGAAAAGAGGACACGATTTAATATCTGCGTTTCGTGCCGCTTCGATTATACCGCAACTCATCGGATATATTTCACTAGTAACGACCTGCCCCGATATTTTTTCTCGTTAATATTCGCAAACGCGAAACTTCGCCTATTCCTCGCGGCACTAAATAAAAAGTCCCGGCAGATATTCGAGAAACGAGTGATGCGAAAACTTGTGCGTCCGCAGAAAACAAGCTATTTCCCTCTCGCTCGGTAGAGATAAGAGGTGCAAGCAGCGAGAGAAAGAGACTTGTAAAATCGCAATTATTATAAAGTCAATTAAAACTTACGAGAGCACGCCGCGATGTCGTCCTCGTAATTGCTCATCTGCCTTCCGTCTTTCACCGTTGCCAATTACACGGAAGACATCGCGAGGCATTTCGTGCACTAACGCGAATGCGAACTGCAGATGTTTACACTTGACGTATCGTCACGTAAATTGCACGTGTCGTTTCACAAAACGTTCACTCCCGCGCGCAATTATTCGGCGTGAACTCACGAGAGAAGCGAATTAATGTAGTAACTTCGAGCTATTCGGATGTGCAATGTCGCGTCGTTTCAACAGACATATGTTTTGATTCGCAGTGATTCGCAGAATATAATTTTTTATGTACTACATATATGTATTAATATAAATATTTCATATTAAAGATATCTAAAAGAAGGATGAAGATATGTATTATTTTTCCGATATGTATTATTTGTTATGAGACACGTAATATACTCTGTCTGAGTAATGGTATGATCTTTTTCCAACTGAGAAACAACCGAGCTAAGAAAAATAAATGTCACGATGTTTTACAGTATTATAAAACTTTCTTGCGGAAACCATGAAAATTCTTTAATTTAGTTATCCCTCTTAAAGAATTTTCTCCAGTATCCAACTGGCATTCTACGCGAGCACTCTAGACCAAGTTAGCAATTATAGAAGTAATTGAAGCTTTGATGCAGCGTCACGGAAGAGGACGCGAGGAAGTTCAAAGCAACAGGAAATTAGAGTGCAGACAGAACTTCCCGCGTCCCGCCGCGAAAATGATTCAATTTAAATGTGCATTTTTTGCATGATTTGCCGGAACCAATTCCAATTTCATATTTAGAATCGATGGGACATTGAAAACCAAAAATATTCTCACATTGAAAAATGTTCGAAAGAAAACTATGTGAAAATGAAATAAAGATTAAAGTAACATTACCTCTTTGGATCGTCCTTCAAATCAAAACCATCAATCTTCAGGATGTTCCATTCGTCTCGAGGTCCCTTGGAATAACTAAAAGAGACCTGAAACAGTAAACAAGGACATTTTTATTTACTTCCGAACCGCAAGCTTTTAATTTCACAAATGAAAAATGAGAGTACAGATCAGGAACCGAGCGACATCGCTGGTACGACGTTGAAAACGATACCGTTTATTTTGACGTAGCGCACGTTTATGTGTATGCGCTTGTACGCATATTCTGCGAAATCTGAGACCAAAGCATCGGGTAATGTTAGTCGAGAAAGAAAATATTTTTTGCGTCAGCCTTTTGCGCACGTTGCGCTCGTTTTCACCGGCCATATGATCTCTCATATCACACCGTCATCCAACCCTAATACATATATTACGATGTATTTGGCGAACAGTAATAAATAAATTTTCTTATTTCTTCTTTCTATTATGTTTAAAAGTCAAATAATATTTTTGTGTATCAAAAATGTAGTAAAAAGAATTTTTATCCTCTGATTAATAATTTAATTAATAAAAGCTTTTACAATTCTTAAAATTAATAAGTAAGACTTTCATTTATTTTTTTATTTTTCTAATAAATGTTCGCGTTTATACACGTGTGTATATATGACACGCAAAAAAGAATAATGTAACACACGTGAGCCAATTTAGTTAATACCTGTGGACGATAAATCGTGCATTTTCTGGGAGTACTCCTATTATGGTAGTTTGTGCACTCATAATAAACGGAAACCGTAGAATTAAATAATGACTATTGTGTTTCGTGAAATAAAACACACAATGCACTCGGTACGCGTGCATGATTCATCGTACGCTTCAAATCATTCTATTATCATTCCATTATTTATCATCATGCTGTTTAGCGTGACCCTTAAACCGTCCAGAACACACCACGAGCATTAATTTTGATTACTTATAATGACAAACCACTTTTGCGCGTATATATCGAAATTAAAATACATATTTGAATATCGTTGAAATAAATTTGTTGACGCAATAATTGGAGTGAAAGTTCGTGAGATTTCATAGTTAGCCATCTTAAGTGACCCGCGTTGTTTTATAAAGCCAACAGTAGAAGAAAGTCAAACTTTGTTTCTAGATTAAACGATAATTGCACATGAACTGCCACAATCAATCTCAACATTGCCCGCTTGGCAAAGTTTATCGTGAAACTTCACAAACTTCCCTGCTCCATTAATAACTGTATATATAAAAATATCAAATCAAATAATCGAACAGTTTAAACTTAATTTGTCACTGGGTGATGACGAAACTTTCCATTCAGAATAAAACTTAAAAGGCGCAATAAGTTGAAATTACCTGTTCGTGAAAGGTATCCTTGTTTAGGAACTTCATCGGCTCCAAATGCGAGTGGAATTGCTCCACTACTGTGAGTTGCTTTTTCAGGAGATATTCAATAATATATCCCATCGTCACGTCATCTGGCAGTCTGATCTTATCGCCAACGGTGATAAACTTTCCACCACTAAAAACAAAAACAAATGTCCAATTTATTATTTTTGTAGTCAATAATAATTAATTATTTTTTAATCGTCGTACAACAGCCACAATCTAATCAACAATCGTAAAATTCTTGCTGCGAGAGTATTTCCTTTCCAACGAAATGAAAGAAACAAGTATAAAAAAATGTGATATCATCAAGAGTCGGAGACCTGATTGGAAATCTGATAGCCGCTGTCACAGACGATGGTAAATCATTAAACCAGATGCCGCCATTTTACGAGCTTAGTCACTTCGATCGACGATCTTCGTTTAGATACAACATTTAAATACGACTCAACCGGTGCATTTAACTTGTGTTTTATCGGGACGTTAGGACATATTTATTTTGTAGCAAGATCCTTCCATTTAATTACATAGCAGAGCGACGATTTTTACGAGCCTTCCAAAATGGTCATCTCATTAATACAGTCAGAAGATACTGATATTTTAACATAAGAGTAGACTAATTTGATCGATAAAAATCCAATCAACTTTTTTCAATAATTATGTAAATTAATAATGCTAATTATAAATCGTAAATTATTTTGGTATATATTGTAAATTAATTTTTTAACTGTTGTGATTAATTTTTCAGTCGTTAATATTATATCCAATATTTTGATTGTTAATTAAATAGATTATTGGAAAAGAGAATGAATTATATAATTACAATTATTGTTTGCAGGAAATTATTTTCCAGTATATACGAGAAATAAAATAACTGTGAAATACATATAATTATACATTATTATAAATCCCCGAATAAATGTATTAAATTACTGCTATCAACATGATAACTAATTGATGTTTGTATTCAAAATTATTATTAAGGTATTTTTACTTGCATTATTAGTTATTAACCTAATTAAAAAAAACATTCGACGCTTATGGACATTTGCTACGTGAAATAATTACTAGTGGTTATTAGCGTTGCGTATATAATTATACATTATTATAAATCCCCGAATAAATATATTAAATTACTGCTATAATAACAATTAATATTTGTATTCAAAATTATTATTATTAAGGTTTTTTATTTGCATATTATTAATTATTAACCTAATTAAGAAAAACATTCGACGCTTACCTACGAGCATTTGCTACGTGAAATAATTACCAGTGGCTATTAGCGTTGCGTATAAAGTAATTAACTCATTCCCATGGCGCCACGCACCTTGTGTGCCCGTGTGCCCGTGTGCCCGCAGAAGCATGAAGGTCCCCTCTTCACTAACCCTTTCACGACGGTCGTTCCTCTGCGCGCAGCGAATTATGGGGAAAAAAGACGGAGACGCGTCACGAAACCGAGGGACAGGGGTCCCCGGCGGGAATAAATTACCGGCCCTGTACACCACCCCGAAAGTCACGCGATGCCGACTTAGGTCTTCAAGTTCTTCGCGTGGCACTCGACACGCATGCACGATTAAGGTCGGCCGGAAACAGCGGCGGCAGAACACTGTCGATACGAAAGTCGCTCTCGATTATAGAGGAACCGCACAAGTACTGCATGGATTGTCGCAAAAAAAGAACAATTGGCTTAATAAGCCAACGATGAAGATACTACAAAAAGGTACTGCAAAACAAGGTCAATTAAATAGTATCTCTACTTGTCGGCGATATCGATCTGTATTTCCTAGGAACCAAGTGTCTTTTGGTTTCTTTTATTAAATCTACTATCCCTTTTCCTTTTCAATGATTCTTCTATGCTCTCTGCACTTTGTCAGGAATCATGTAATTGATTGTTTGCTGAAACAATTTACAAGTTGCTCCATGCGTGTTCTGCCGTTCCAAAAAAACAAAAAAAAAGAACGCTCCACTATCCATGAATAAATGATGTCTGGCAATTTGATCGTTTAGCTCCATAAATAATTCACGTGGTCTTGCGGGCTCGACCATCGCGTATGTAAAGCATTGACGTTTATTTCTCACCGTCATACTCCGCATTAATCTGAACATCAATCAAAGCAGATAAATGCCCCATGTTCCACCCAGATACCGCGCGCAAAGTAACGATCACTTTTCACCCGACACAACGCTCGTCAAATGCGATCATTATTTTCTTTTACAACCCAACTGCGTTAAGCGCACGACGAAGCTCCTGCGAGCTGAAAGATGAACGGATGCAGAGATGATATGAAAGTTCGTGATTTCGGTTACGCGCGACGTAAACATTTAATAATTACCGCGTTGCTACGACGATCACGATGACGACAACCGCAATAAGAAAACCGAAGCTTTAATTCGGTTGCATTCCGCTCATGTAGATCAGGTCGAGGAGAAGAAGCACCTGCTGCTCGTTGCTGCTCGTCGCGCGGTCTCCACGACTTCAAACTGGTTGGTCCGCATTGAAGCAATCACGTGCATTTATTAACCGTGCTTACTGCTGGCAAGACACGCAATACGTAGCCGCGGCCTCAGGCTAACGAATTTCTATCGATTAGTCCACTAATCCGCGCTCCTAATTCGCCGTCGTTAATCTTAACGTCGAACGTTGTCGTCGGTGCCGTTAGTAACGACGTTGAGGTCGGCGTGGCCGTAATCGATCGTGGCACTCGCGCAAAACGGGTTTACGCACGATCGATCGTGAAATTATTTTCGGTTCGCGCCGGTCATCACCTCCTAGCGCGAACACGTAGCCTCCATTAAGGAACGCGGAACCGATTCTCCCAGCCGCTTGTACCGCGCCGATAACCCTCATTTAGAAACGCGCGAGATGCTTTTCACGGCCTCCGTTTGAAGCGATTCCGAGCAATGCATCAGACGCGAAATTGCGCGTGCACTAAGGACAGCTAAGCCTTACAACAGGTGGTCGCGATCTCTCTCTCTCTCTCTCTCTCGTCGGAAAGAAGACTCTCACGAGTCAAACGGAAATTTTCGACAGACAAGTGGTCGATCGCTGGCTGCGAGAACGAGGCGAGAGATGCGCGATCCACGGCGGACATAAATCGTGCCAATTAGAAACGACGGCAGGTAGTCACAACTTCCCTGACCAAGCCCGTGTATACATATCGGCCGGCAGCTTCGTGAGAGAAGAGAGAAGAAAAGAGTGCCGGACACGTGAAAGAACACGAACGAACAAATGTCTCAAAGGGGTGCCGCCGTGGCTCGAAGATACACGAAAACTCTCGGAATGGAATGCACCCTTGGAATGTTAAACATGAAAAAAAAATTCCTAAAACTCGAGATTTAATTAAAACTATAGATTTCAATTCACAATTAATGAACAAAACTATAATTGCGTGATGATGAGGCAAGAATTTGAAATTTAATCATTCAATTTTAAGTAAATTTGACATGAAAAAGAAAGATAATATTCGTTCTCCGTGAAAATTAGCTTTGTTCGAAAATTAGATCAACTTCTCGATCAGTCTATCTTATAGAAACTCTGGCTCGTACAATGGCCGACAATGCGAATCGCCGCGCTTATTTGTTAGACGACCATTGGAGACGTAATCCGACATCTCGCGGAGCCGCTGAATACGTGGAACCAGAAATACGTTTCTTAGGCTAGGTCGCGCACGGCCTGCATACATTTGCGATGCAACGAGAACCTCTCAACTGGCGGAACGAGCGATAGCGGTGGAGGAAGAGGAGGAGGAGGAGGAGGAAGAGAAGGAAAAGGAGGGAGCGCAGGTGCGCTCGGCAGAATAAAATAAGGTAACGATGAAATGAAGCACTCGCGACGCGGGACCCACTACGTCGATATAATGCTCTCTGACAGAGGACCCGTCCACCACTCTTCCGTACAGTTTGACGTTCCTCCCGGTTGCAAACGTCCACTAATTAACGAGTACGCTATTAACGAGACGATTGATTTCGCGTGGGAAGAGAGAAAACGGCCGCGTTTGTCCGCTGGGGATCGGTCGCTTAAAAAATTAGACATCTGCGTCACCGATCCGACGTAATAAAGTGCATTTACCTCGCAATCGACGTGATGATATATTTCATTCATAGACATTTCTTTCACTTCTATTCTTCCATTCACTTCTTCTATTAAACAGTTTAGTTCATCTAATATTGATTTTTATATTAGTCTTTTCTATTGCGAAAAACTGATTTCAATTGTCAACGATAAGTAAGAAAAATCCCTCGATTACTTTTTGAAACTTTCACATTAGTGCGTAATAAAGAAAATAAGTCCTCGATGATTAAAAACTAACATCATAAGTCTTGCAAATATTTGAAGTTTGGAAGAGAGTCGTCAGATCGGCCAATTTCGTCGAAATTACTGGCTGCAAGATATTCTCACGCTCTTCGCGAAGAGATAACTCGCCAAAAGTCTCGGTACCAACCGTCCAATTAACCGACGGTCCTGTTTTACGCAAAGCGCTTGGAAGTGGCGCGTTTAATTAACGTTTTCCAGTACTCCAAGATCGCAAACGCCCTAAACACGCCGTAACCGAAAAAAAGGAAGGAAAAAAAAGAGACAGGAACGAAGAGATCTAGAGGAGTCGCACTCATTAGCGAATACCATCGGCGGATTCTCGAATCTGCCGGTACCTGCCATTTTTCTCCGCCGTGGTCACCGGGTCCTTTTTAATTGGGCAGATTAGTCCCGAATACGTGTACACACACCCGCTCCCACCCCGTCGTTCGTCACCCGCGTCCTTTCGACACACCGCCGCCGACACGGAATATCGGTCTCGTTAAAATACCTGGCAACGAAATCGAAATTTCGGGGTTATAAGGAAAAAGAATCGGAGACACGGAACGAGGCGGACCTTCTTCGTCTCCTTGAAGACACGTCCTTGCTGCTTTCCGTCCGTTCGTTTGATGGCGAAAGACGTACAAACATGTGACGCGAACAAGTTCGAAGAAGATTCCTCCTGATTATCGTCCTATTCGACCCATTCGTAATTTAGGAAATTTCCGTCGGTGCCTCTTTCGTTGAAATACCCACCCGATAGAATAAAACAAAAATGTGCAGTAAATCATTAAATATTACAGTATTTCTATTTTCTCGTTTTCTTTAACCAATTTTGT